ATAGCACTATTATTAATATTAAATAAGTTTTTGTAAAAAGGTTAGTTTTAAATCTTCACTAAATATAGATTATTCACTATCATATAATAATCTTTGAGAAAATACTCTAAAAATATTATTTAATTAATTATTTATTTATTAATGAGATAATATTAAATAAATAGTGTAATTCATAGTTTATGTGATATTATTAAAATAATTACACTATTTATATAATTAAATATTTATTCTTTATTTTATTGGTCATTGAATAATAGAATAATTCTTAATAGTATTTAGTAATATATTATTCTATTATTTTAATTATTTTATTAAATTCATAAATAATTTATAATAATTTAATTAATTACTACTAATAATTGTGTATGCATTTTTATACATTTTTTATTATATTATTTTTAAATAATTAATGGTTAAAATATTATTAATAATTATAATTATTTAGAAAGGTGAGTAAGTGCGTAATTAATAGGAGGTTATATTTATTTAGTAAAAGGTTAATTAGAGGTAATGGCATAGTTAGAATTTATCAAAACTTGAGAGGGCAAAAAAAAAGTTTTAACACCTCAATCGTCTTTTTATAGCAGTATATGTTGGATATTTATTAAGAAAATGCAATTTTGCCTTTGTGTTTCAGTCCCACATCGGAAAATTGAAAAGAATCCTCTCTCCCTCAACCCTATAAATACACCCTTATTCACATTCTAAAACATAAGAAAAAAGTTTTTCTCCTCTCCTTTGGTTTAAAGAAAATTGTTTTTTCCCCTCTATAAATTTTGTAGTAATTTTTGTTTGGGCAATCTTCTTCATCGAGCTGAAGCTCTGTACTCTCGTCTGAGTACGGAGGCCGACCGTTTTCGGGGGCTTTTACCGCTAGGGGGGAGAGAACCATTTGTGTCAGGGCGATAGGCGGGTTCTCAATCTTCTAGGGTAGTGATTACACGACTGCTCCCGTCAGGCTTGATTTTCTTATCTCTTACTTATTTTAATTCAGATTTATTTCATGCTATAATCTTAATTATTTGATAAATTTTCAACAATCTAGAAGATTGAGCATATAGCTGTTGATTTATTAAATCCGAAATAAGTTTATCTAAAATTAATTTCTTTTAATTATTGCTGAATAATTTCTGTTAATTAGAAAAAAAAAATTAAAAGTTACTGTTCATTTAAAAAGTTACTGCTAATAAAAAAATTACTACTAATTGCTTGATTATCTGTTAATTATTTTAAAAAAATCAGTTTTGGTACTGTTCACTCATAAAAAATACAGTAACTGTTTTTTATTAAAAAATTTAACTGTTACTGTTCGTCCTAAATAAATTAAATTTTGTAATTAGTTGCTTTAATTACTGTTAATTATTGCATTTATTACATTCATTTAATTGTTGTTAATTAAGTTGTAATTAATTACTACTAATTAACTTTTAATTACAATTAATTGTAACTTGTAATTGATTTTATAATTAATTAATAACAGATCGTCAGTTTAAGTACAAAATGAGGTTACCTCCACTATATGTTGTTAAGGAGGAATTCTTTCTCTGTTCAAAATGAACCATTTTTTTTAAAGAAAATATGCTATGTATTTGAACGTTGATGATCACCAGTAAATAATTTGAGCTTTTAATACTTATTTTCATTAATCCTCTTTAATGTGTGAGCTTAATAAATGGGTTTTTACTCTCAAGACATGAAAATCATGAGGTTCGAACATCAATAAGTAAACCCCTCCTCGGCCTTATCCAACGTATGTTTGCAGTATAACTGCTAGGCAAATTAAATGCTTGCAAGAAATATTTTAAAGTTTCTATATTCTATTAAGAAACAAAAACTCATTGAGTGAACCGATTCAAGTTTTCTTGGATTAGTTGGTGTCTAAGGCAAGGTTTAGGGGTTGCGTAACGCGCTCTGCAAGGAACGAGGTACTTAATTGATCTTTGATCAACCTCTATTACTATCCTTACCTGGCTAACTACCCAGGTAAAACTTTAATCTTTTCACTTTAGGAGTTTTTGGTTTGGAATAAGAGGACCGGAATTATGAAAAAATTCATATGCATTTATTTAATTACGCTTCTTGCATCATATATTGCCTAATGATAAATGATCAATATATGAGCGAACCAAATCAAAGAGGTGCATCTTTTAAAATTCTATTTTATATGGTGGATTATATTTCAAATCTTCAAATGTAAAGTTCATCTCTTTTATTGCATTATGAATGATATTGCAATAAATATTCATATGTCATTTTAGATAACTTGCATTTGTTACATGATTAATTACAAGGTTTTATACAAGAATGCACTTGTAAAATTTAAAGCATGTATGTACAAATAATATACATTATTATTATTATGTGTTTAAGAGGTGGTACTAGCTAGAAAATAGCCATGTAAATTTGGATGGTCTTCTTTGTAGACAACTAATTTAAATTTGGAATGTCTCTTTTGAAGGCAACCAATTTAAATTTGGATGGTCTCTTTGAAGGTAACCAAATTTTCAACATCTTATAATAGAAAAAATTAAAAAAAATTATGCATATGTAGTGAAATATATTTTAAGATACGAAATCCTTTTATAAGGTTCTCTTTAATGCTTTGCATGTATCTATTATTAATTTTATTCATGTATGTGCATATGCATGCATGTAAAGATATAACTGTAGTTTTTTAGTTCCACATTAGTTTGAAATGTTCAGATATTAAGGTTAAATTTTAATCTGTACAAACACTATGCAGTTACATCTTCAGACATAGATTACGATCATAGACCATGATCTTTTATGCTAACATGTTTTGATGTCCTATCATTTTTAATAGTGACTAGAAAGAGTAATCTTATAGCTCTTTATTTGATCATATGTATAATGCTTTCTCTTGAGATTTCAGGAAATGATCAGAATTGATATAAATATGCTCTGTCAACTAATATGTCTAGTTACAGGAGATGTGATAAATCAATGTTCTGGAAAATCAAATCAAGAGGTATATCTTATAACTTATTTCTATATGATGAATAAAAATTATATTGAAATTAGTCCATCAAATAATAATAATAATAATAATAAAATTGCTATTAGGCTTATCCTTATAAGTTTTTTGAAATTAATCTCTCCTCTTGCTTCTTGTACTCTTGCCTGGAGAGACTAATTTTAAATAACATAACAAGAAGATGACCTAATGTCAATTTCAAACAATAGGAAGGACTACTTACAAAATAATTTAAGAACTTGATAAATAAATACGACGCCTACTAGGCAAAGTTGTGATTCTAGACTTTGTAAAGTCTAAAAAGAATCTTGTTAACCCTTTGACTAAGGGATTATCTAGAAGTGTGGTTCTGGATTCATCGAGAGAGATGGGGTTAAGCCCATAGATGAGGTCACTGACAGCGGCAACCAAACCCTTATTTGGAGACGTAGTCCCAATGTTGGTTCAATGTGGTAGAAACAAGCTGGACTAGTGACACTCGTGTGGAGCATCGATCCTGATATATTCATATATCACTATGTAGCTTGTGCTACTACCCCTTCTCTATGATGACGATGCTCTTATGATACAACTGGCTAGGCTGAGTTTTACTCTTAATAAGTCCAACGTGTGTATTATAGAGGGTATTAAATAAACAGCTGTAGTACCCTTTGAGGACTTACCTACGTGAGAGGAACCATGATGACCGCGGTTAGGGGGGGCTGGACTAACCCTAGAAACTCTCATGAGTCGGTTTATTGTGAGCATGGCCTTTAACGCTCAACTCGCTTTGCTCAATAGATGAAGCGTATTGTGTGTGTTTTCATCAATACCTGATTAAAGGGGCCTAATTCAAGGCCTAGTCCATTATGTCCCTCAGGTGGCGATGAACTCGCTAAGGAAAGGTTCAAAGCCGGAAGCTACCTCTCCCGAATTTCTCATTCCACTACTTAAGGGGGAGGCTGATTATTTTAGGTGTTCCACGCTTAGAACTATAAATAAGTGGAATTTTAGGGGTATACATATATGTACACTGTTGGATATTTATTAAGAAAAGGCAATTTTGCCTTTGTGTTTTAGTCCCACATCGGAAAATTGAAAAGAATCCTCTCTCCCTCAACCCTATAAATACACCCTTATTCACATTCTAAAACATAAGAAAAAAGTTTTTCTCCTCTCCTTTGGTTTAAAGAAAATTGTTTTTTCCCCTCTATAAATTTTGTAGTAATTTATTTTTTGGGCAATCTTCTTCATCTGAGCTGAAGCTCTGTACTCTCGCCCGAGTACGGAGGCCGACCGTTTCCGGGGGCTTTTACCGCTTGGGGGGAGAGAACCATTTGCGCCATGGCGATAGGCAGGTTCTTAATCTTCTAGGCCAGTGATTACACGACTGCTCCCGTCAGGCCTGATTTTCTTATCTCTTACTTATTTTAATTCGGATTTATTTCATGCTATAATCTTAATTATTTGATAAATTTTCAACAATCGAAATTGTTAGAAATTTAATAAATAATTAAGATTATAGCATGAAATAAATCCCTAGAAGATTAAGAACCCGCCTATCGCCCTGGCATAAATGGTTCTCTCCCCCCAAGCGATAAAGGCCCCCGGAAACGGCCGGCCTCCGTACTCGGGTGAGAGTACAGAGCTTCAGCTCAGATGAAGAAGATTGCCCAAAAAAAATTACTACAAAATTTATAGAGGGGAAAAAACAATTTTCTTTAAACCAAAGGAGAGGAGAAAAACTTTTTTTCTTATGTTTTAGAATGTGAATAAGGGTGTATTTATAGCGTTGAGGGAGAGAGGATTCTTTTCAATTTTTCGATGTGGGACTAAAACACAAAGGCAAAATTGCCTTTTCTTAATAAATATCCAACAGTGTACATATATGTATACCCCTAAAATTCCACTTATTTATAGTTCTAAGCGTGGAACACCTAAAATAATCAGCCTCCCCCTTAAGTAGTGGAATGAGAGAGAGAGAGAGAGAGAGAGAGAGAGAGAGAGAGAGAGTTTTTGGTGCAAATTTACTAAAAATGCCATCGGTGCTCCAAAATCGGTTTTCTGGAGCAGCAAAGCTGTCCCCACATATTGATTGTTAGAGACATATAAGATAAAATATCACTAGAACACTCTCTTATAACACCCTACACGGGTTTATCTCAGTATATAAAACTCTTTTTTTGGTCAATACTCAATATATATAACTCAACTAGAAGTAAACTCCCATTTTGCAATATCAGGATAGAGTCATTTTCATAGAACGAAAATTCTAAGGACTAGGATCCTTCCCAAATCCCATCATAGCATGGGTTATGATCATTGAGCCTCTGCGAGTCATTTCAGCTAACCTCCCAACAAAAGCTGGCTTCACGGTATCTCTGTTCTTTAAAGGGTTTCTATCCCACCTGTAAAAAATATTGCGTATGGCTCAATTCTCAGAAAAGAGAGTAGTTTAAAGAAAGAATGGTCAACTTGGAAAAAAGGATCATTATATAGGGACTTGTGTGGGAAATTATATGTCGAAAGGAGAACGTGACAAAGAATAGATTTCAAACTTGATGAATATCATGGATGCAATATTATTATTGTGCCAACACTACAAACTAGCTGCACCTATATATTTAAAATTGATAGTAAACATGTATCATGCTTTCCTTACTTCATATATAATTTTCCATAGAAGGCTCTCTTTAGGACTTTTTTCCCCTTACATTTATCATCAGGGGTGAAGGGTTAGAACTCAATCTTAGTATTTAGCTTAGGTTGTGAGTTTTTAGTCAATTTTGGCACGCATAGGCTCAATTGTAGCTTAGAGAATTCCAATCAAATGATCAGGTTCGTCTTAATTAACTTCAGAATGTTAAACAAAAATTGCATAAAGAACCTAGGGGTTAACTCTTCGATCACATCCAATACACAAAAGTAAATTAAGTGAAATTCCAGGTTATAAACATATATACCTGTAAAGGTTCGAACACGACAACTTAAAATTGTTTAACTCTGACTTAAAAACTGAAGTTAAAAGAACACAAAGCCAACAACATGCCGTAGGCTGGAGTTTGTGCAATTAAGAATGTAATGACCATGTATTTTCAGCTAAAAGTTATTCTGTTAGCGACGATCTATACCTTCATCCGAGCTACACGAGTAAGTTTAAATAGTGTAAACTAAAATCTAAAATTGTAGAGAAGTGAATTCCAAACATAATGGTCAAAAACTAGTTTTGTAACTTGAGGGAAAAAAATGTAAATATAATATAAGACATGATGTACACTGAAAGGCATGTAGACGAAGCTAATGAAGGTCCTGACGTGATCTAAAATAGGCAAAAAGAATTCATGATTTCTACCGCTAAACAAGTATAGGTACATAAGCAAATCAAAATATCTATATTACCCACAAGAACATGTGAACTGAAAAATAACAGCATTAGGAATTATTTGGTATTTACTCACCAGTCCTCATGACGGATAATCTTCCCTTCTTGAATATTGAGCTTGATAAGTGAGGTTATATCCACATCTTTTCCGAATATTTTGTAATGTTGCTTATTGTCAATAAGAATCTAGGCAAAACAAGCATGATAATCATATTTTTAGACTGTAATGGGAAGAAAAAGAGGAGGAATATCAAAATGGAAAACTACACTAAAAAAATTTCAGTACTTCTGCTTTTCCGGAAGCAGTTGCGCTTTCTTGGACGCTGTATTCTACAATCTCTGATTCACTAAATATCTGCAATAAATATCAGGGTATTAATACAACATTTACATTGAAGCTTAAGTTCCAACCGAGCTTTGCCATCACACCATATATGCCATGTGAGCAGACGCACGTTCATTTTTAAAACCATCATCTTCAACTCTTCAGAGCATATTAAGGCACATATAGTAGCTAACCCTTAACGGGCACAAGGATAAATTTTTACCCGATTGCTAGTTTTGTCTTGTTACAATCGAGTCATTCTGCCGTGGTTTTTAGTTTTTATTTCATTGCAACTAGGTATTACACTTACAAATGCTCCTTCAGTTGCACCCTACAACTTACTTTTTATAGTTGCAACTCAAATAACTAAAAGCTCATTAAGGGAGGTCTTATTAAGGCCAGAGGTGTAGTTTCAATGCAATTGTCTATTGAAGTCACCCACCTAACTTGCAACAGTAATCGACAACCCCATAACACTGTTTACCTACCCCTAAACCAATAACCCCTCAAGTGTTTGCGTTAGATCCATCCCGGTAGCAGAGAGAGAGTGTGTGTGTTTGTATTTGGGAGAATAGTGTGTTTGTACCACTAAAAAAATAATAACAATATATTTCATAGTGTCCACCACTTCTCTCAACTTAACATTGTCAATTGCAAGCAATTGAATCGTTGCAAGTGTTATTATATGCAATTACAGTTGCATCAATTCAGTTCTACTTTTAAATTTTATAATTTTTAAATTCTATAATTTGCAGTAGTAACTATAGTTGCAATTTACCAAAGAGCCTCCCTTTTAAACATCAAGGCATTTCAAACACTTTGTCAAACACTTAGACTTCGTTTAGATACCATAATGTTTTCCTTGTTGTATTTTTATAAAAAAATATCATGGCGTTGTGTTTTTCCCTTAAATTGCTTTCAAAACATCATGTTGAGTGTTTTTGTTCAACATTAGTTTGACCTATTACAACATTAGTATTAAACATATTATTAATATATTATACATTAATTATAATAAAATATATTATAAATAAAATGTTATAATATTTAGTTTACATTATCATAGTATTATAAGTATTAGATATAATATAATATACTATTGTATAATATATTATAATATATATTGTACTTTAATGAGTTATATTATTTTATAATTATTATTATATTATAATTATTACAAATTATACTCAAATAATTATATATTTAATTACTTTGGTATATCAATTTGTTGTTGTTATATATTATATAATATTTTTATAATAATGTTATTTTACTATTAATATAATAGTATACTATTATTAATATAGTATAATATTATACTATTATTCATATAATATAATATTATTAATAATGTTAATATTATGTTATTACTAGTATGTTATTAATAAATTAATATATTATACTATTATTAATATAATATAATATTATACTATTATTCATATAATATAATATTATTAATAATGTTAATATTATGTTATTACTAGTATGTTATTAATAAATAAATATATTGTAAATATTTTAATATTATATAATATATTATATTTTTTAATATGTTAGAGTTTATTAATAGTACTTTAATAATATATTAGTATTTATGATATAAATAAATACTATTATATTATGAATATATTATTTTTACATTATTATATTATTATATAAAATATTTTAATTATTATATATTTATATTATTTAATAAATATTACTAATATATTAGATTAACTATAATATAGTATAGTATAATATAATAAGTATGTTGATAATAACTATATATTAATTACATTTAATATATTATGTTTGATATTATATTAACACCTCCTCAAACTCAAAACCAAAACACCAAACTTTAAACACCTAAAAGGTGTTTTAAAATAAGTGTTGTGTTTTGGTTTGAGGATGATTTAGCTCAAAAATATCATGATTTCCAAATGCATAGTGTTTTGTTTTTGGCAAAAACACCTTGAAAACAAGTAAAATAACATGATATCCTAACGGAGCCTTAATTATCCAAATTAGACTATCACAAGTATTAAATTGATCAAAATCTAACCTTAGCTACTGAGTAGAAAGCAGACTTGATCTGCTTCACTCTGTAAAATCAACAACCAAAATCATGAATCAATCGAAAAACTCGAAAGAAAACAAAGTAAACTAATGAGGTATTTTCTCTTACCCATGGGCACGCATGAGGGGATCCTCAAAAGTAGCATTCGGGTCATAAATCTCAAAGTCTTTAGCTGTAGCTCGCGACCCATATCTAAAAAAATAACAAAATTATCAATTATTTTGATCAAAATATTTGAAAGAAAGGGGGGAAAAAGAGTGGGACTTACAAGTTAAGAATGTGAGGGATGATGGTATGAGAGAGGCTATGGGATTTATGAGATCTTGAGTCATCGAGATTCTTGTTGCTCCGATCGGGTTTTAATTGATCTTCCATTGAAAATTCTGATTCAATATTATTTAATAGGAAAATATAAACAAGAGAGGAATAAATATGTATAAAATCTTTCAGAGGGAGAGAGCAAGAAAACTTGGCTAATAGTGAGACTGTTGAGTGGACAGGATTTGGGCGGCTATGAAGTGGGCCAACTTAAGCAGCGAAGTCGTGCGGTGTGGGATGCCACGATGCGAGGTGGAAGATGTCACGTGTAGAGATGTTGGTCGCTTATTATTTCAAAGATATAACTAGTGGTCGGCGCTTCAAGCAATTGATTCCACTTCAAGCAATTGATTCCGCTTCAACCAATCTGCGAAGATGTCACGTGTAGAGATGTTGGTCCATTATTATTATTTCGTTCGCAGAGCAAACAGTCTATAAAATACTCTACAATCCACGCATCATTTTCGTGAGAAAATCAAACCGTGCTCCTATACACATACACATCTTAACTAAAATTCAAAGTTTAAAGAGAAGTCATTTTAACAAAAAGAAATAAAACTCTTCCACATTTCTCTCAAACTTCTCTTCAGAACCATTCATCAACGGCACTGGTAACTTAACAAGACAATAAATCTTCGGCTTATAATGTCGAACTTTAACGACTCAATCTTCAACTCATCTGTGTATAAAGCTCCACGTCCACATTGAACCAACTGTCTCTGTTTTCTATCTCAAACTTCTTTTCAACATAGCCCAGCCCATACACATGAGTGGCAAAACCGTAAAATCCATCCGGTTTTGACAAAAGACAGGAACAGTAATCCAGTTAAAAGGTTCAACGCAGCGAGGAAGTGATAAATTTTAAAATCCATCAAGAGTTATTCTTTAAACCAACAAAGAATGATCTTCGAATACATGAAGAACTTCTAATACACGAAGAAAAATATTAATAAGAATAATTTTATTGATTAAAGTTATCAATTTTCTACGGTTACAAGGTTATTCTTAAATAGAAGAAAAAGTACTCTTACTAGCACTAGTACCACAAGAAATAGAAATTCTTCAAAACTACCTAAAAGACTCCTACAATAGAGGTAACAAATCAGTCCAACATGAATCAAAAAACTGGTGCGATTTCGGGATCTGTTAATCAGGATGACTGTTCGTCTAGATAAGTGATTTTCATATATAATATGTTAGAATTTGCTTTCTAAATTAAGAGATAAGGTCATTTCTTTATGGGCAAGTAAATAATTTATCGGTTTCCTCATTTGACACATGAAGGTCCCACTTCTTCATAAATTTGTTCGTTATGCATCCTACATCAGTTTTCCCTTGTTGAAAGAAGCTTGACCGTGAGCTTATATTTTTTTGCATAGCTTCTTTGATACACTTTTCTTCTCTTACGTCAATCAGCATTCACCTTGTACTTAATATTAATTTTCTCCATTTGTTCTTTTACTTTTTCTGAGTTAAACTTATGTATGAATATTTCCCACACTGTGTATGTGATTGGGGGCATATGGATCTGTGATTGACTTGAAAAACTCTCCAAATTTTATTCCTTATTGCTTCTATTATTCTAGCGCTAGAAATATCATTTTAACATTATTGAAATCATTAACAATTATTGCTTTCAAAGAATGATTTTTCTCATACTTCATCCCCTATTGCTTCATCCCCTTTGCAAAGTTACATATATCATCAATCAACTCGCTCTCTATTCTACCTTCTTTTCCATTGAAATAACATCAACCGGCATAACATCATCCACAATATTATGTGCAATATGTTATGAATTTTATGGAGAATAATCTGTGGAATTAAACACTAAACAAATATCTGCACCAATGAAAATATCACACGTAAGCAAACACCAAGATTTAATATGGTTTGGTAAATGGTGCCTACATCCATGGGGCAATCTAGAGAGCAATATTCCACTATCAATCGAGAGTACAATCCTTCAAAGTTACACCCAAACTTGATGATCAAATCACAAAGAGAAAAATACAGCGTTACCTCTAGGATATCAAAACCCTAAAACCAGTCTCGCCACAAATCTCCAACTCTCACGGAGAAATCAACACCGTACCCTTGACAACATCTGTCGTTCTGAAGACAACGACTTTTGAACCATTGCAATCAGACAACCGAGCTATCCCGAATCTCAACTTTTCTCTCTTTCTCTTTCTCTCTCCCCCCTCAAAATCGCCCAACCCTCTACAGTAACTCTTGGGTTACTGTTCACCTAAAAAACATATTACAGGGTGATGATCTTCATCATGTGCCCTAATTCCTTTAATAAAGGAATTTTTATCTCTAGATCCTACTTTCCTATTCAAATTATGAATAGTTCCCTTAAATCTTTTTCTTAATAGGATATAACCAATTTGACCTAGGTCTTGTAGGCCTCAATTGGGCTGAATCCACAATAATATCCCCCTCCAGCCCAGTGAGGGGGTATGCTAATCTGTAACTCCTCACCGAGAGTTCATAGTGGCTAATCACCGACACAACTCGGTCTTCTCTCTAGAAACGATCTTCATTAAAAATCTGCTGGATTTTTATCTGTGTGAATCTTCTGTAGCTTTATCTCCTCTTTCTCAACAGCTTCTCTAAGCCAATGATATCTCACATCAATGTATTCCGTCCTACAAACCATGTGTTCTTTTTCCTTCACTTTAAAACCCTTCGGCTGCTCTATGTAGATCTCCTCCTCCAAATCACCATGAAGGAATGTAGTCTTCACATCAAGCTACTCAATATCGATGTCTAAATTAGCTGCTAACCCCAAGATAACTCTAATGGACGTCATCTTCATAACCAATGAAAAAATCTCATTAAAATGAATGCCCTTTTTCTGATCAAAGTCTTTCAGCACTAATCTGGCTTTGTATTTCTAAATCTCTTTGTAATCACCATTCTTTAACTTGAACATCCACTTGTTCTTCAAAGCTTTATTGTCCTTCGACAAATTCACCAACTCATAATCTTAAGAGACTTAATCTCTTCCTTCATAGCCTGGAACCATCTGTCTTTGTCTTTATGAGTATGTGCCTCCTGAAAGCTCTCTGACTCCCCCTCATCTGTCAGCAAAGAATACTCTAAAAGAGGATATCTCATGGATGGTCGATGTTCTCTAACTGATCTCCTAAGTTGTGGTTCTGCAATCTCATGCTACTGGTGATGCTCCCCTGCTAAGGAACCTCATGCTCATGATCCTGATCACCATCTCCCTGCTCTGGTATCTAACTATCATCATCAACAACATCATCATGCATGTGCTCTATATCTATAGGATACAATTGTACTGGAGATGAAAACAAGTGTCATATCTAGAATCTCACTAGCAACACTCTCTGACTGCTTTGCTCTCCCGAGATCTGCAATAGTCTGATCCTCCTAAAAAATCACATATGCTCGTCTGATAATTTGTCTCTTTTCTGGATCTCATAGCTTGTAGCCAAACTCATCTTCTCCACAACCAAGGAAGATGCAAGGAACCGCCCTATCATTAAACTTTTGTCTCTTCTCCTTCAGAATGTGTGCAAACGCCTTACAACCAAACACCTTCAGATGAGTAGAAAATATCTTTTTGGGACCAAACCCTCTCTGGAATATCAAAACCCAAAGGAACTAAAGGAGGCATGTTGATTATGTAGCATGCAGTGTGAATAGTTTCAGCCCAGAAGCTCTTAGGTAACTTTTTCATCTTCAACATGGATCCGACTTTCTCCACAATGGTCCTATTATACCTCTCTACAGCTCTATTATGTTACGGTGTGCCGAACTCTATCCTCTGATGCCGAATATCATGTTTGGAGCAATAATCTCTAAACTCAATAGAAGTATACTGATGCGGTATAAACATGTACCAAAAAATGTTGCAAGTGCACAACCGTGTCAAGTTATAGTATAAAGATACCGATCCACGAGGAAGGTGTTTCAAAAATGTTGCAAGTGCACAACCGTGTCAAGTTATAGTATAAAGATACCGATCCACGAGGAAGGTGTTTTGTAGGAGAAAATATAATATAGTATAAAGATACCGATCCACGAGGAAGGTGTTTTGTAGGAGAAAATATAAAATCAGTTCTTATGTTATGTGCGTGACAAATAAGAGTGATGAGTGAATGTGATTGTGAAGAGATTAAGAGAGTAAAAAATGGTGCGTAAATAGGTGCAAAATATAAGTGAGAGTGGATGTGACAAAGAATGAATGTGATCAATAAGGCAATAATGAATAAAATCGAGAAACAAATGAAAATCAAGAATAAACAAATAAAATTCAAGAATAAAAGAAAATGCATAAAATTAAAGATGGTGGATTCAATTATAGTTATGGGCGATCTAAAATTAAACCCACTTCTTTAGAAAAGAGTGATTCCCTAGGGGGTTCTGGCCTAAAGGCGAATCAAACAAAATGAAAATAAACAAAAAGAAAAACTAAATCCAAAAGGGTTCTATCCTCAAGGTGAATAGTGCAAGAAATTAAAATTTAACTACAAAATAAATTACAAAATCTAAACTACAAAATAAATTGCAAGAATTAAATACAAAAAAATAAATCTACTCTATAAGCATGAAATAAATTTAATCTATAAGCATAAAATAAATCTAAGGCAAGAGGGTTCTAGCCTCTTGGCTATTTAACAAGAAAATAAAATCTAATTATAAGCATAGAAATAAATCTAAACTAATAAGCAATAAAAAAGAAATAAAAGAGAAAAAGAAAAGAAATGCAAACCTCTTAATAATTCTTCATCTTCATCTTCATCATCCAACAAAGAGAAGAAATATTTAAAGTGGTGAAAAAATTATTATTATTAATTATAACAAAATGTTACAAATTTAAAAGGCCTTCTCAATTAAGAGTAGCACTCCTCTCCAAAAGGAGTTATAAAAATTTTCACACCTCTAACTCCTCACTCTCTACCCCTATTTATAGTAAACATCAGTGAATGATAGCCATTGGATCAAAATCTTATTCAAAAATCATGAATTTCAGCCTTAGATTCGTAACATAATGACGATGGTATTGATACCAGCATCGATAGGGGTATCGATGCTGGCATCGATGTGGGCATCGATGCTGGCATCGATGCCCGCCATCGATGCTAGCATTGATGCCCAGTGCACTCTGGTTGCTTTTCTGAAAATTCTTCTT